CCAGGGACACCCAAGGAGGGAGGAAGGAGAGAGAGAAGGAAAGAAAGAAAGAGAGAGGGAGAGAAAGGGAGAGGAGAGAAAAAAAGAAGAAGGCAGGTGTTCCCAGCTACGAACAAGCGTCCAGGGACACACCAAAGAAAGAGAGGGGTGATCCTGAGTGTTGCATTCAGGAAAACCCCAAGAAGCAAAGAAAGAAAGGGGGAAGGGAAGGGGGAGAAAGGGGCTAAGGTCCCAACAGGTTCCAATGAACCTCAAAATACTTTGACCGCTGTGGTCACCTTGTGCCCTGCCGAAGCGGCTGGCTGCTTTGACCGCTGCGGTCACGTAAAGGCATAGGCCAGCTTGGAATTCCTAAAATGAGACAAAATCGGAGTTCTGGTGGCATGAGCCAGCTACTGTCCGCTGCGGACACGTACATCTCCGGGCAGGGGAGATAACGACGTACACCCGTTCGACGGGTCCACGGGAGGCACTCTGCGGGCTCATCCCGGGTTGGCACGAGGCCAAACACACTTAGGATAGGGTGTACTGAACTGAAAGCGGTGCCACACGCCGGCCTAGGTTACCAATTCCTAAGAGTATATACAGGTAAAGAAACCTGAAAAGGAAGTGGAGGTCCATCAAGTTCAGCGTCGCCATCAACTCTAAAGGAACCGTCGAACGGCCGAGCGACAGAGTGACGTCGTCCGAAACCAAAGCCCTATGCGTGACTGCCGAGAGCAAACCGGTGCAAAGACTGGATTTCTTGTTTCAGGTACAAGCAAGGCCCGGAGATTGGAGTAATTATCACAGCAGGTACAGGAAACTGGCCAAGTTTCCCTTCCCACTCTCGCCCACAGCTTCGTTGCGTGTGGTAGGACGAGAGTGCCACACGCCCCTGCTACACAAGGAAAACAACTGTGAAGCTAAAACAATCCGAAAGGATCCCTATGATTCCAAGGGTTACACACACACACACACGACTGTGGTGTGACTGACTGCCACATGAGGCGCAGTATCCGAAGAGCCACAGAATCCCTAGGCCCTATGTTGAGGGTGGTTACTTTGATCAAGACCATCAAACAAGGAACAGCTGAGCTTCGCAGAAGCTCCTGTCACTGTGAACTCCAGCTCCCGCAGGGCTGTCAACTAAATGTCACTGTCGCCTTGGCACAAGAGGTTGAAGAACCTGAGTTCGACTATCGTTAGGTATGCCAGGTGACGGATCCTAGGGTCCGGTTCATGTCATCTTCTTCACCTCCCTTGTCAGGTGATGGAGATGGCATCAGCGACAAGATCACGCGCAGCATCCTGGATGCGCACGGAGCCCCAGACTCGTGGGAGAGGAGAGGATCACCTGGTTCACCTGTTTTTTGCGAATCGTTGGTGCGTGTTTTTCTATTCTTTCCCAGGTTCCTTGAGCAAGTCGCAGGTTCCCATGTTTCTCTAGTAGGGTGGAGGCCATCGTTAGTAGGGTGGAGACCATCGCTAGTAGAAACTCAAAAGGATATGGTTTTTGATGCTACATGTTACATGTTGCTACATCTACCTGGGCAGGTGGGCGGTTTCGGACTCAGCGCCTCGGAACACCGGCACGAAAAGAGCCCTGGTCGTGTGGGTCTCAGGTGGCACGTGCATTTGCAGGATGGTGGCCACCATCCGAGTGATGAAGCCACGAAACAGCAGCTTGCCAGACCCAGCCTCGTTGGTTCCGGAGCCGGTGTTCAGACATTTTCTGGTCGGACGAGTTTTGGGCGAGAAAACCAGGCTTTGGGGTCGGCTTCATCCTAGGACGAGGTCAAAGACCTTTTTTGGGGCCCCCACATTGATTTCAGGACTCACCCTGTGGATGAAGGGTGTTCAGTGTTCAACCTTGAGGGTTGGATTCAATTGTGTTCGTTGCCCAAACTTGGTGCAGGTTGTTTCTTTTAAGCCGGCTCCTACTTTATTAAATAAGGGGAATAAACACGCTGCTAGCAATACTTAAGCTTCTAGCAACTGGACGCAGGATAGCTCACACTTCTTCAAGGAAGCTCCCCCTGCTGCGGTGCTCGCACTATTGATTTGGTTTCTAGATTTTTAGGGAACTTAACAATGGTTGTTTGGCAATTCTGTGATTGTCAGGCATATTCTTGCACTTTTGGGAGGCATTCTAAAAAGCGGTTGCTGCAAAAAAAGAACATCTAGTTGAAATGAACCAATCGTTGAAAAAAAAATAAGTAATGCTCGAGTGCTTTGGGAATGAACCAATCGATGGAAAGAAAAGTTGCACAGACCAAGTGGCACACATTTTGGGCCGGTTTTGCGGATGATTCTGAGTCAGTTTCCAGTCTTTGCATGTTGATGTTTTTGTTTGATTCTGGGTCATCGAAGAGGTAATTAAGCAGAAAAGTAACACAACTTAAACAGGTCGTGTGTTCGCTTGAGACTGTCGGCTACCACTGCTGTCTGAATGATTTAAATCTTGTTACATTGTTCGGATGGTGGTGATGATGAGCAGGGTGGCAGATGGAGTTGACAGCAGTTCTTTACGAAGAACCCTTCGCAGGAGCTTTCGGGAACAAGTAGTTGTTTCAATTGTTTCAGGTCCCAAGATCAACTGGGAGCTACTAGTAGCGTCCGCTCGCTCCGTTCGTAGCGATGCCCCTTGTTCCGTTCGTAGTTTCTTGTTCCTACTAGTAAGGCCAGGAGCCCCTAGTAGCGTCCTTGCTCCTACCCCCCCGCGCGCGCGCGAAAAGGTCCTAATTTGAATTCTGATTAAACTTAATTACTTTTAATTCTTGTTTCTAATAGCTTCTTGTTACTAGTAGTAAGGCCCTTGCTCCTAGTAGCGATGCCCTTTGCTCCTAGTAGCGTCCTTGTTCCCCAGGATGCTGCTCGACATGAAGAGCACTCCGACGGCCTTCGTGGTCTTCGAGTCTGAGAGTGCCAAGAAGGCGGCCGTGGATGCCGCGCCTGGGCGGAGAAAAGCCGGGTGCTTTCGAAAGGAAGCTACAAAAAACGGTGAGAGGCTGAAAGTAGTGTTCCTTCAACGGGTGTTTAATGGATAGGTTTTTGAGATTCTGACGCTGGTTTCTTGATTTGGGATTTGCTCCAAGCGCCGTAGCAGAAGTCTACTAGAGGTCTACCAAGTGCTTCAAATGACAGTCAAGTTGCCCCTTTCATTGGCAAGGGCCCCCAAAGTCTGAAGAGGGAGGAACTAGGTCTGGCTGACTACGATGTGCGCTGACACCGCAATAAGCAGCACATATTTCCTTTACTTGCCCTCGAGGCTCTCATGAAATTCACTCTCTCTCTCTCTCTCTTTTCTTTCTCTCTCCAAATGATGAGTCTGACTTCCGCTTTCATGGCAATTTCTCCATGCAACCCTTGACATTGTTGTAAATCAGAGGACTCCGGTTGTTCTTCGACATCTTGTGGTGACTCGTGGCCTCGCATTTGTTTGTTTTCAGACCTGTGCCATGAGAGGCCAGCTCACCGACCTGAGGTGAAACGTTCCGGCGGCATCCTCATCGGCCGGGAGAATTGCACCTCGGACGTTCTTTGAGCGGAGGACCAAGCACCAGTGAAGCGGTGAGGTCCTGCAACCTGTGGATGTTTGTTCAAGACATTTTGAACATCATCCACGATCCAATCTTGGATGTGTTTCTTCTCCAAGAGGGAAACCAATGAAGCGACCCACCTGGTCTTCAGGCACTTTGTCTTCAGTTTTGGCGGAGCCTGAAGAGATCTTGTGGGTCCTTGGGCGCATTTGGAGGGTTCACCGCGAGGTTGCTTGGGGACGCTCTGCACGTCTTTTCGTATTTTTGCCGTATTTCTTTTTCGGGGGGACCCCCAACCAATTGGTAGACTGGTCTACTTCTTTTCTTCTAGAAAATCGAACTGGGAGGTCTCTAGTTTAAAGCACGCCGTCTTCGGGTGATTCCTGCAGGATTTCATCCGATACCATCATCGGTGGGTGTCGAACGAAGGTGGAGGTTCGACCAAACGTTTGACGTTCCAATCGGGGGCAAGCCTGACCTCTTCACTTTTGGAACCAAGCTTGGTGAGGGATTCGATCTCAGACGTCACAAGACTCCCCAGGGTCTTTCTTCCGGCTTGTTTGCTCCAACATCGTTTGCCCCGACCACAAGCCTTTGCTCAGTTTGCATCACCTCGGTGAACCGACTTAGTGGTAGCAATGCACCGTGTTGCTAGTAGCGATGCCCTTTGTTACTAGTAGCTTCTTGCGTTGCTAGGAGCTTCTTGTTAGTAGTAGTGGCCTCCATCTAGTAGCGATGGCCTCCACCTAGTAGCTTCTAGCAGCTTCTTGTTCCAAGCCATTACATGTCCAGACAGGCACCAACAAAGTGCAGTAATTGCTCCTGTTGATGCTTTTGTAAGAGCTTTCCAGTTGTCATGAAAGATAGCCGAAACCCCTTGTGAGTTCTCTAAGCTTTGGGTTTGAAATGATATCATATTTGGGCGTGAGTTTTTTTGGCCAGCAACACCTCTTTGTGTGAATCCTTGCAATATCAAGATGAGTGCCTTTATTGCTTGCATTAACCACATGTCTTGTGGACATGATTTGGATGTTCCCAATGCAAATGAACACGCAACCTGATGAGCGGACCAGAAAGAGCAGCAAGGCCTTCCGCTGCTGCTCCTACTGGCTTGCTTCTTGCTCCTAGTAGCGATGCCAGGAGCCCCTAGTAGGCCAGGAGCCCCCAGTAGCTTCTTGTTAATGGCTTTCGTCGCCATACTCTCAAGTTGCCAAGGCGAACCTGTCCATCAGCAAGGGCCAGCGTGCGGCGAGCCTCGGCCTGGTTCTTGTCGGCAACTGCCCTGAGCGGAAAGGCCAGAGCTGGATAATGCCAATCCCAAGTGATGAGCTGGAGGCCATCGCTAGTCAGAGGACATCGCTAGTAGGATGGAGGCTATCGCTAGTAGGATGGAGGCCATCGCTGGTAGGATGGAGGCCACCGCTAGTAGGATGGAGGATGCTGGAGGCCATCGCTAGCAGGATGGAGGCCATCGCTAGTAGGCTGGAGGCCATCGCTAGTAGGATGGAAGCCATCGCAATTAGGGTGTAGGCGGTGTAGGCCATCGCCATTAGGTTGGAGGCCAGCGCTATTAGGCCGGCCATCCCTAGTATATTTGAAGAACTGGTTTGGTTGGGCTGAGCCAGGGACAGGACGGTCTACAACTGCCTTGTCCTTCCGAGGAACCTTTTCCAGGGCACCTTGCTGGTCTCTGGTGCTTGTCTTCTTTGGACCTTGCTGCTTTACTTGCCCTATGCCTTCTACATGGCCTCCTTCACTTATGCCAACGGTGACGAGCCAGGAGAACGTGCATCTGGTTCCGTCACGTCAAGCATGGAAAACTAATTCGATGGAAAACCTGTGGTTTTTCAATTGTAGAGGACCGTGGGTAGAACTCAGCTGGAACTCGGCTGGAACAGCAAATTGAGCCTGCAGATTCAAGAGGTATTTTGGGGTGCCTCCAATCTGCCTGTGAACGAGATGTGGGCGATGGTGTTTGACATGTCTTGCTTTTGTTGGCCGAACCAGGGCATGGCAAACATCCAGATATGCTCGTTTGGCTGAACTTTCTGACTCACGAAGATGGAGTGTCACCTGCTGCCCCAAAAACCACACCAGAAGAAGATCTGAGTCAATTCCTAGAGACTTCGCTTTGAAGAAGTCTTCAACGCACGACGGCAGACGTGGGACGTGGGTGCCTTCCAGCTGTTCTCATGAGATCGCGCGACCGCTCCGTTTTGATCCTCGCAGGGCCCTTCAGCGAGGGGATCTTCATTACCCTGGTGGTTCTCTCGCAGATCGGCCTTTTCGTTTGCAGTTCAGTGGCCTCCAAGGGCGCTGGTTTCCACTACGAGGACCAGGTCGTGACCATTTGGGATCTGAGTGTGGTATTGTTTTCAAAATACTCAGGGACCACGGGGGAAGCCGTTGGCTTCCAACACAATTGCACTGTGACGAAAGAAATCCCAAGTCATGCTGATTTGACTGTTTTCGCTGATCGATGACCTCTTCACCGGATTTCGTCGCTCTTTTCTCCGATGGTTCTCTTCCAGGTGCATCGGAGCTACACCATGTTCTATAACGCGGCCCTGGTCCTTAACCTGGCGCTTGATTTGGTGTTGCTTGGTAGGAAAACCTGCCGGGCTTGGGCTGTTCCTTTTGTCTTTCAACCGGTCCCTGTTTTGGCTTAAGCCGAGTCACTCCTTCCACCTTTGGCAGGTTGCAGACCTATCTGAGCTACTTGCAGATGGTGGGCGTGGGTGTGCACACCGCCGATGGTCAGCTTCTGGGCTCCATGACCGACTTCCAGGCGAGGCGTTGGTCGACGTGGGTGGGCAGCAGAAACACCGCCAGAGCGCCAGAAATCAAAAAATAACCATTTGTTCAGAACACCGACTTTGTTGCGTCTTCGTTTTTCCCTGTAATGTGTCTCTTCTAATTTTAGAATATGGAAGATAGAATAGGGAGAGTGTTTTAAAGGGGATTCTGCAAAAGTCGGTCAACCCTTCAAAGGCTGTCCAGACAGAGACAGGAGCGAACAGTGTGCAGTTGGTGGTTGGGTGTGGAAGAAACAGGCGGACACACACCAAACAAGGCCAGGGACTTGGGATTGCTGGGATATGGCAAGATGAGCAGACCAGAGTTCCTCTTGAAACAAGAGACTTGAGTGACTTTACACGCGCGACCTTTTTCGCAACCTCAAGATAGCACAGCACCCGGTGATCGCCGGGCTCCCAAACCCAAGACAGCCGGAAAAGCTGAGCTTAGCCGGAGACCGGGACAGCCGAAGCCACGTGGTGCTTTTCCTGGAGGACATCTTTGAGTCCTATCCGATGCAGAAGTCCTTGGGAAAGCTCCTCTTCAAGTACTGCTGGCCCTGTACCTTCTTTGTGCTGGGGGCCCAAGCACGGATGTCACTGGGAGATTCGAACCCAATTCTCAAGTTGGGTGGGGTGTTGATAGGGCAGAATGCTATTGAAAAAAACAACAGGATTGCAGCAAGCCCTCATCGTTTTTTTTCTCTACCAGATTGAGAATAGAAACAATGGCTGAGATGGAGGTGTCAAGAGTTTTTTAGAACATATGAACTTTATCATGTTTGTGGGGCCACAAGCAAGACTTGAGAACTTCAAAATGGCCCACACAAGTGCCACACACCACAGTGGTTTTACCTGCCTCGGGGCTTGATATGGCTGTGGGTAGAAAGCGAAACACTGAATACCGAAGATATTGAGCACCCTGCATACTCCAAATGCTGTGGGTTGGAGGCCATCGCTATTGGGTAGGAGTCAATGCTGTGGTTTCTTCTGAGTTCTCGACTTCGCGTCATACAGCGCCAGCCTTGACAAGCCGCGGGAGCTTCAAGGCCTTTCCTCTTCGAACCCGTAGTGGCCCAGTTCTTGCCGAAGCACATCGCCAAGACTGAAGAGTTCAGCAGTTGTCTTTTTTTTCTTTTCTAAAGCCCACTCGCTCCTATTTAATTAAGTAGGCGCCATGAAGTAAGGGCGAAGTAAGCTACTAGCTACTAGTTCGCTCCTAGCTAGGACGCAGGAGAGCTCACGCTTCTTCAAGGAAGCTTCCCCCGCCTGAACGCGGGGGCGAGCTTCCTGGCACAAGCGCTCGCACTAATGATTTGGTTCCCAGATTTTTAGGGAGACCTGATTGGCAAATGGATTTAAGTCCAAAAAGGCAGTCACGAAAGCAAGTCATTTGTGTCTACGACCGACACCGGCTGCGCTTTTTCTCCGCAGGATTCTGGTGGGCGCCAACCCGCGGATCCGTGGGGAGATGGCGGAGAAGGCGAGGATGCGTGATTCGCGGAGTCGCGCTGAGATGGAAGATGGAAACATGTTTTTAATATGTTTGTTTGCGTTGTTTTTGGAATAATGAAAAACGGAAAGAAAGAAAGAAAGAAAGGTCTAAAGCGCTAAATAAAAACCAAAATAGATTCTTTGCTTGATTCAACGTGATTCCTGCCATGGTGGAACAAACATGCTGACTGTCGTTCCGAGATGTTGAAACTTGATTCCGGGTGGTCGAGCGTTTGGTGACTAGGGTGGAGTTCCATTTTGCTATCCTCTCAAGCAAGGACGCTACTAGGAGCAAAGGGCCTTGCTACTAGGAGCAAGGACGCTACCTGGGGGCTCCTGGCCTTACTAGTAGGAACAAGGACGCTACTAGGGGCTCCATTTTGCTATCCTCTTAATGCTGAAGGGATGTCCTTGGTCGCTACGATCATCTCTGGCGATCTACGCAAGTCGCTTCAAGGCAATTGAGCGCCTCTTCAATCGGTTTGGCCTTTGGTTGTGCTTCGATCGACAAGAAGCTGCGAATTTCACGCGTCAAGATCGAAGTGAAGCTTATAGTGTCCCTGCCTCCCTCATCCAAAATTTGTTGGTGGCTGTAGATCATCCACCACACCTGTGATGCTGTGCAAGCATGGCATTTTGACATCGTTTGCAACCAAAACCAGCATCATGTGAGTCATCAAACAATGCAAAGCTATGCAAAGCTATGCAAATTTGCACCGGCAGCCGGAACCATCGTCGTTGTTAGCTGAACCACTCGAAGCCGCAGGCTCCGCAGGCTGTCGTTGTTGCCATGAGGGCATGATGAGCCGAATGAAGCCAACCAATAGGTTTATACTCGGGTGAAATGACAAAGGAGTTGTGAAAAATACCTCAAAATTCATGCGGCTAAGTCATGAGGATTTGCCCTAGGTCCAAACAGTTGTATGTCATGGCGCAAAAGCTTGAAAAAACCTCAAAATAAGGGATGCCAAAGGTTGTCACCGACAGTCTTCAAAATAGTTGATTTTACATGGTCAAGCGTCATGACCTAAGGCTTTGGTATCTAAACAATGGATAGACACTGGAGACATAGGAATTTGAGAGCGAAAACGCATAGTAGGTTTTTACATGTCTACATGACTTAGACCTTTCCTTGGGAAAGTCGTATGTCACTTCAACGCACTTGGCCTAAGTCATTTGACCCCGCTTTTGCGATTGGTTCATTGACCAGACTCTCTTCACCTGGGTGTTTCGCTGTTTTTTGGAACAGAGTGTTTTGGCTTCCGCTTCTTTCTCTCGGAGCGGAGCTGTTGCCGGCGATAGAGCTGAGAGGCCTTCGAGCTGAACGAAATGGAGCCGGGGCGCTATGCGGACATCATCTTCAACCTGATTTTGGTGGGGAAAGTCAAGGAAGAAAGGGAGAGAGAAAGCGAGGAAGGGGAAGGGGAAGGTTGGTATGTATACTTCTGAACTAGTGTTTTGTTTACTTCTTTTACGAAACAAAAAGAGATGATCTCCTTCATGGAACTTATAGGTCAGGAACTCTTGAAGGAGTACCCTCCGACTCACTAACATGGAAGTGGACAATGGACTGGGATGACTACTTTCCTTCAGTGTTGTCCACTTCCATTTTTTACATGTAAAAAATGCATTGTGAATTTCTGAAGGCAGATCAACCGCTGCCGTTCCAGTTCAGGCTTTGTGGGAAGACGCTTAGCCAAACGAGGTTACGTGGGAGCGTGGCGAGTACTCCCACCACAAAGCTCTTTTCGACCTTTGTTCGCAGAGGTTAAAACTGGATTGATTTGCTGCTTGTTTTTCTGCAAGTGCGCGCTCCGTGTCTCAATCTGCTTTGTTTCTGAGTCGCAATGTAGATGGGAGTCCAAGATCCTTTTTACGGATCTGTGTTTGTCTATCGTTCCTTTGAACGCATGCCAACAATGAATCAATAGGGGACTGTTGTTGGCCTCCACCATTGTAGATGAAGAAAAAGAGGGCAGGTAGGAGCGATGGCCTCCTCCTTAGTAGCGATGGCCTCCTCCTTAGTAGCGATGACCTCCAACCTACTAGCGATGGAACGAGTAAAAGGATTTGCTTGGCATTTTCTTCCCCAATGGTCGAAGGGTTCAGAGAACCACGATGTGTCTATCAGAACAGGTCTACCCGATCGGGGGGAGAGTCTACCAGAACTCGGTCCCCAAAAGGTTCAGATTTTTCCGCAACTAGGGGCTCCTGGCCTTACTACTAGGAGCAAGAAGCTGCTTGTAAAAAAGCTCACCACTACTAGGAGCAAACCTTTCGCAGCTTCGTTCCACTGGCCAGTCGGTACCTGACTCCCAAAAGCACCTCAACAGCCGAATGAAGAGTTCTGCTGGATAGCAAAGCGTGTTTGTAGGAAATACGTGACTGTAACCTGGAATCTCCTTTGGGCACAGTAGGTTTACGATATATTGTTTCTTTCTGATTAAGATTATTCAATATTCATCGTGCGTATTTTCGGGACGTTCAATGACAATGGGCAAGTGCTTGATTGGCGCCATGTAAGTGTTGCAGGTGACCTGCATCCCCTTCATCGCTCCTGCGTACATGGCCATGACGTTTGGCGCTTTGATCATCTCTCATGTCTACCTCTACAGCTATGACCGTGTAGCTTTGCATCAAACGTTGGGAATGGAGCGTGGTTCCTTGGGGTGTTGTTCTTTGTTCTAGCAACACTAGTAGCTTATTGTTTCTAATTGAATTCTTGTTTCTTAATAGCTTCTTGTTCCTAGTAGTAAGGCACTTGTTACTAGTAGCGATGCACTGGGGGATAGGTAGAGAGTCAACTTGTGGTAGGGATGCGGAGGGAAAAGCAAGATGTTCGCAAGTCCACGAAGCCGGTCAATCCGGTGAGTTGTAGCGGCTTTCTGCGTGAGAGATGACCACTGTTCATGCGTGGTAGAAAACCTGCATCAAAGCGACCTGCTCAAGCCGCACGTCTTGGAAGGGAAAAGAGGTGTGGTCAGAAAAAGCACAAGTAGCGGCACTGTGGATCAATGTTCGGTTCCGTGTCTCCTTGTTTCTGCACACGCGCACAGCGCCGTCCTCGAGGTGAAGGTGCTGCGCTATGTGGGGAAGTATCAGTGGTCCTCCCCAGAGGCCGAGATTCGCCACGCTAGTAGTAACAAGTGCCTTACTAGTAGTAACAATAAGAATTTAATTAGAATTGTAATTACTAGCTTCTTGTTACTATCAGAGGTCCTCCCCAGAGGCCGAGATTCGCCAGCAAGTCTCATTGGGATTGCTTGGAGTTTTCGGGTGATGTCGGGCGGATACATGAAAAGTGGGTTGTGGAGGCCATCGCTCTTCGGTTGGATGAGAACATCTTGCTTTTTTTGGATGAAAGGTCGTCCTCGGCCTCGATCTGGATCTCTCTTGGACATGCTGGTTCCTGTCGAGTGGTGGGAAGACATGCCCCCTTCAATCTAACACCAGCTCAAAGCTTGACAGCGCCCTGATGCTGAGTACAGGTGCACAACCTGGCGCAGAAGCTCTTCTCGATCCCAGCCGCTGGGCGAGGAGAGGATGGCACCGCGGCGCTTGGGCCAGGGATGAAGCAAAGACGGTGGTGAACCGTGGCCTCCGTGTTGGAGGCCATCGCTTCTAGAGTGGAGGCCATCGCTACGAGTCTCTCATCGCTTCCCCTCAAGTCTAGCCGCAAGAACTCTAGTCTTGTGGGCTCCAAGGAACATGGCGTTAGTTTGGACAAAGTGCCATACAGAACGGGCCAAGGAGTGTGCGAATAGTATTGGATTCGTATGCCACACACATCGCTCCAACTGGATGATGAAGACAGCACACTTTCTATGGCACAGGATCCGTTAGTCACAAGGGCAAACCGCTTTGAGAGGGAATGGTTTTTCGCACTGTCGAATGCTCAGGCAATCTTACAGTTTTCCTGATCGGACCACAAGCAGTGTCGCTCAGCAGTTGCAGTTGCTAAGGTTTGCATCTTGGCAGGTGCCCTGGTCTTCAAGTGCAACCAGTTCTCCGGTGGAAAAGCACTGGGCTCAGGTGTGCTGAAAGGCGCCCGTGAGCTTTGAGCGTGACAGTGTGCGAAAGATCAGCCAGGAGCGCCCCTAGTAGCGTCCTTGTTACTAGTAACGATGCAAAGAGATACTAGTAGCTTCTTGCAAGCCCTTTGTATGTTTAGGTGTGTGTTGTTTTTGTTGGTTCCTGTTGATTCTTTTTTAGATCCGTTTTTTTCCCGGGGGCTTGCAACTAAAAAGGTCTACTCAAGAGTCAAGAGAGCTCCAAGAGAGCAAGCCAAGCTCCAGAGTTGTGAAAAAAAGAAAGAGAAAAGAAAAGTCACTGGCCATGTCTCCGTCTCCCAGTGAACCTTTTGTTTGCTTTGTTGTCCTTTCTCATTTGGAGCACCCCCAGTAGTTTCTTTCTCATGGACCTCAGTTGAGCTGAATCTGGGTTCTTTGGCTGGCCAACATGTGCTTCTAATAATAGTTTCTCGGCCAGGCAAAACCTGTGTGGTCTTGATGTACCATAGGCTTTTGGTGACCCCAAAATAGATAGATTCGGATGCTTCACAACCCTTTGACCAAAGGTAATCTTACTTGTTGATCTACAGTAGAAGGGATGACGAACTCTCTCTATGCTGCGGATCTGGTCCGCGGTTTCGTTTGGTCCGACGAGCAATCCGTGGTTCTCTCGGATGACAGCGAAACACGAAGCGTCGCTGTTGCGTGGGTTGCTCCGTCGCCAGGCCCCTACCTTTGGTGCAGCATCTTGGGCGCGATGGTACCTCGGGCAATGGCGCTCGGACCGTTCACCAAAGCGGTTCTTACAGAAGTCCAGTTCGACTATATTTTGACCGACTGAAGTAAAGCATATTCCTTTTCATGTCACCTGAAGACCATTCTTTTGATAGTCTTGGACCCACAGGGTTCTTCTCTTTCAGGTACCCCTTGGGGTTCGTTTCGTAGCGATCGGACATCGCCTCCGTTCTCCGTTCTGTTCGTAGGGAACCTTGGGGACGCAACGGGCAGGAGCGCCCCCCATTTCGTGCTGCGTTCGAACCGTTCCAATGACCGAAAACAGCTGTACTGTACGTTAGGAGCTGTCCAACGGAAGGTAGTGGGTCGACCGTAGAGGGTCAGGTCTGGCACCTAGAGCTTTGGAGAAAGCTGGTAGATTCGCAAAGGGAATCCGTGGAAGCAAACATTGTAACATCTTGCGTGCGCGAACACAACGTGCGAAAAGCAGAAACCAAAGGGCAAAGAGTGGAAATGAAGGAATCCTCAAGTTCCTCTCGCTGACAAAATGCCAAGCATGCTAGCTCAAATTAGCCCAGCTGGAGACCCCAATAGCAAGATACAAACCGGGACAAAAAGAAAAATCTGGAAACAGCTGCTGTTTTCAACGCATCGACCATCTCTTGCTTGGACACCATCATCACATAACCGGGACACCATCACAAAATGACCAGGGCACCATCAAAACATGACCGAGACACCGTCACAACATGATTGGGACACCATCGCAACATAACCGGGACACCATCACAACATGACTGGGACACAATCAAAACATGATC